GCGGTTCGCCGGGGGGCGGCGGCCGCCTCCTCCCCCCCGGCCGGGGCCGCCGGGCGCGGAGCAGAGCGCGGAGCTCAGGGACGGGGGGAAAAAAACACCCCCAAAATCGCTTTTTGGGGAAGGGATCACCTTCCCCGGCTGCTCACAGCCCCGGGGCGACTGGTGCAGAATAAACCCTCCGCTTCTCGCTGGATTTCTTGTTATTTTGGCGGGGAGGGGGGAGCGCATCGCTGCCCCTGAGCTTTGCTCCGCATCCGATGACACCCCCCCACCCCCGGCCGCGAAAACGGTGGTTTGCTTTGCTTTACATCGCTCTGCGACTGAATCTCCCCGATCTGCACCCAAAACACCCGGGGATGGAGCTCGAAACACAACACAAAGGGCTCGTGTGAATCCCACGTTCAAAACCGTCGCCACCGGCAGCCTTTCCACTAGGAAAGAAAATATCTCCCGGCAAAAATCCACCCTCGCCGTGGAAATCAAACCATTCCCCTTCAAAGAAAACCAGTCCCGGCACGACTGCCCTTTCTCCCTCTCGCAGTATCTTTTCGGAGTGTGAAAATTTGGTTTTCCGTATATTTATTATAGCCAGCAAACGTTAAAAATGGAAATATATCGCCCGGGGTTTTATAGGCCTCGCCGTGGGAATAGCAGAAGCGCTGGAGGGTTTTAAACCGAGCCCGGGAATTGGGGAAAGGAGAGTTTTGGGGAGAAAAAGCCGGGCCGTGGGGTGCCTGATGCAGGAGGGGGGTGATGGTGTCCGGAGGGATGGAGGGGGGAGAAACACGCCGGGAGAGGGGCTGGTGGTGACACTTTATTGCTTATAAAACCCCCACGCAGGTCCCAGAAGCACTTTCAGATTCGAGATGGGCCGCGGATGGGTTTTTGGAGGGGAGAGGACTGGAAAATGACTGGGTTGAGGCTGCGGGTTGGCCCCCGCAGAGGGACGGGACTCGCTTTTGCTGTTCGCTGGGGGTTTGGCTGGTTTCAGCAGGTCCGGCCCCCGCCCCCGGGCGGGGAGAGATGCAGGGAAGGGGAAAAAAGAAGAAGAAGAAGAAAAATAAAAGATCACCTAGAGCAATTAGCCCTGCTAATCCCCGCACCTTTGGGGGCCCGTTTTGCCGGCCCGGCCCCGCATATTCCCCGCGACCACCCCCGGCCCCGCTGCGCTTCCCGCCCGGCTCCGGCCCAGACCCGCTCCCCTTCCCTCCCCCTCCCCGAAACTCGGGCAGTGTTTTGTGTAAAAATAGACAAATCCGAGCTTTCTTCCTTTTCCTGCGCCGAAGGTATTTTTACTAGCTAATTGCTTAAGTGAAGTCAACTTTGCAACCAGGCCGGGTGTAATCCGAGTATGGAAATGTATATAGGTGGTATTGTTATAGGCGGGCAGGGTGCTGCTCGGAGAGGGGCCGGGGTGTTTCTGCGAGCCCGGACCACCCAGGGCGAGGGGAGTGACCACCCCATGTCCCCCTCCCCGCTGCCCCTGCTTTGCATTAACACCACCCGCAGGATCCCCCCCCCTTTTCCCCAGCACCGGCCCTTTTCCCTCGACTG